AATACTTACAAGGGGAGATAGATTCAAACCAGTCTCTGCAGTCTGTCTCCCAGGAGCCCAAGGAGCGCAGGTCAGTGATGGTGGAGGAGCAGCCACCCGGTACTTATCACTTCAACTACTGCGAGGACGACTCAGCAGGCGGGGCCTGCCCCTTTGGGCCTTACCAGGGCCGCCAGACCAGCGCCATCTTCGAGGCTGCCAAGCGGGAGCTGGTGAAGCTCATGAAGATCGAGGTGAAGGGGCAGTGAGGGGCACAGCCACAGGGGGGCAGGACAGGGTGGATTCCAAGGGTCTGGTGAGGGCAGGGCAGGGTGATTCCCTGGGCTGTGCCTGGGGGATTGGGGGGGCGGGGGGAGGGCTGGGTGAGTCCCCGGGCTGTGCCTGGGGGATGACGGGGGAGGGGCCGGGGAAGTCCCCGGGCTGTGCCTGGGGGATGAGGGGGGAGGGGCCGGGTCAGTCCCCGGGCTGTGCCTGGGAGCTCCAGCTGCCCTTAGGGAGTCTGGGGATATTCTGGCTCTGGAGGCCGTGCCTGGGGGACTCCTCATGCCGTCGTTCTCCCTCCTCCAGAGCCATAGGTCAGCCAGGCTGTGGCACGTCCTGCTCTGGGCTGCACAGCCGCTGCCTCCCAACTTGGCCCTGGGCAGCTCCTGTGCACGGGCTCCGCGGAAGAGCTGGGCTCAGGGCTGGGATGTTTGGCTCCTGGATTCTCGGCCCTTGAGGGAGGAGGGGTGGCCCAGGGTGGGATGGACAGCTGGGATCCCGGGTGGGGAGGGCTGAGCTGCCCTGTCTGTGCTGGGAGGGGCTGGCCAATCCATCAGCCAGCACAGGGCAGGGAAGGACTGGAGGGGAGCCCCCAGCACAGAGGGCAGCTCTGTACAGCTCCCAGGTGGTGCAGCAGGGCTCAGCACTGCTAGGGCCCTGCCTGCAAGCCCCTCCGCCCCCATCGCTGGGTGCTCTGCCTGGTCCCTCACTGCTGCTCTCCCCACAGGACCCCTCACTTCTCAACAACCGGGTGCTGCTGCACCACGCCAAGGCTGGGACAGTCATCGCCCGCCAGGGGGACCAGGTAGGTGCCAGGAGGTGCCAGTGCCCAGCAGCCACGGGGTGACACTGGTGCTCTGAGCTGGTGCTGCTGTTGTCTCTTGGCAGCTGGGGCCTGATCCCCACTGCCCTGCAGCAGCCCCAGTGTGGAGTGGGCAGGACCTGCTGCCTGCTGGGGTGGGGGCACCTCACCCACTCTGCACCGGTGCTGATGGCTGCATGAGGAGCAGGGCAGTGGGGCTGCCAAGCTGCCTGGAGAGGCTCACGAACGTGTGTGCCAACGTCAGGGCAGACTGTACAAACCAGGGCACAAACCCCAAACAGGCTCTGTGCTCTGTAAAGATTTCACCAAGTAACAAGCGTGAACTCCTAAAGCACCATAACAGCCTTACCATGGAGTCACAGGCAGTCCCCTGGGGCACCTGGGTCTAGCTTGCCACCCAGGCAAGCCGGCCTTTGTGACAGATGAGCCCTTACACCAGGAACCACAGCAGTACTCAGGTTACTCCCTCACCCAACGGACTAGTCACTTACCCCCGGTCAATTCTACAGTAACTCCTCACTTAACGCTGTAGTTATGTTCCTGAAAAATGCAGCTTTAAGTGAAACGATGTTAAACAAATCCAATTTTCCCATAAGATTTAATGTAAATACGGGGGGTTAGGTTCCAAGGAATTTTTTGGGGGGCAGACCAAAGGCATTATATACTGTACTGTACTGTGGTGGGAAGGTGCCCCGACTTACCCCTGGGACTCAGGGCTAGGGGTGCAGGGTCTGGGAGGGAGTTAGGGTGCGGGAGGGTGCTCAGGGTGGGGGTGCGGGGTCTGGGAGAGAATTAGGGTGTGGGAGGGCGCTCAGGGTGGGGGTGCGGGAGGAGGCTCAGGGCTGGGGCAGGCAGGAGGTGCAGAGCACTTACCTGGGGCAGCTCCTGTTTGGTGCAGGGGGTGTGCAGATGGCTCTGCACAGCATGGCCGGAGGACTCAGGAGGAGCAGGGGCAGCCGTGCAGCCAGCAGCCGGAGAGAAGCGGCACTTTCCCCTTCAAAGCTGGTCGGAGAGAAGGGGAAAGCGCCGCTTCTCTCCGGCTGCTCGGCTGCCCCTGCTCCTCCTGAGTCCTCCGACACGTGCTCGTAGGGCCGCATTCCGAAAGGGGCTTTAGAGCTGCAGGCCAGGACCCAGGGCCCCCTTAGCCCAGGGCCCTGCAGCCCCTAAAGCCCGTGCGTTCTGGGTGGCCCTGTCTGCCGGGGGGATGAGGGGGCAGCTTCCCCGCTCGCTCGCTCCCTCCCTCCCTGAAAGTCCTAAGCGCTGGGAAGGAGGGAGGGGGAGGAGGCGGAGAAGAGGAACTTGTGCAATGCTCCCTTGTAAAGTCAGCCCAAGGACATTATAAGGGAGCATTGCACAACTTTAAAGAAGTATGTCCCCTAATGGAGCAGCGACGTAACTTCGAAACAACGTTAAGCTGGAGGACGTTAAGGGAGGACTTACTGTACCTCAGATCTCAAACCACAGACAATGCTTGTAGCCATCCTGTGATACTAACTAAAGATTTATTAAGTAGGGAAAAGAAGTGAGAGTTATTCACTAGGTGAAAGCAGGTAACAGACGCACACAGGTGAGGTAGTCAGGTTCCAAAAGGCAGGAGAAGCTGCTGTAATGTGCAAGTTCTATACCAGGGTTCTCAAACTGGGGCCGTGAACCCTCAAGGGGTTGCAAGCTTATTACCTGGGGGGGTTGGAAGCTGTCAGCCTCCACCACAAACCCTGCTTCGCCTCCAGCATTTATAATAGTTTTAAATAATAAAAAAAAAGTTTTT